AAAATGAAAGAGATTCCCTCATGTTTTTCCCAGATCACCTGCTTATAATTCTCTTCATATATTTTCCCTTTATTATCTAAAAGTAAATTGGAGGTATAAATCACTCCCAAATACTGCAGTGTGTATGTCCCAGTTGTAAGGCTAGTACAGTCACCAGGAAGTTGAATACTGATGCAGTAACATTTGATATATATAGCCCATGGTTAAATTAAATTCTTAGTAATTGTTCCAATTTCGGTTTTGTAGCTATTTTCTTGACCTGTATCCAGTCCATGACACTACATTGAATTTAGTTGGTATAACTTTGTAGGCTCATTCAGTCAGGAATCACCTTTCTTCACCTAGACACATTCAAAGAATACAGGTGTCCATGCAAAAAAGCACAGCTCTCAGGACCTTTGACTTATCTTCACATAGATGGAACTGTGAAGAAGAGCCAGGAGCTCCTCCCAAGCCCATGTGATCCCTAAGAAACAGATCCTCAAACAACCTTAAGAGTAAAAATAAATTGGTTTATTTGGACCAACTATATGGTCTTAAACATCAAAAAGGAAAGTATAACCAAAGATTAAAGAGATCGGTGTATTTCTTTAAGAGTCCATATGTATAGCTAAAGGCTACATAACAAGAAACAATGCCAGACAGGAGATACCTTCCTTTGAGTTATTGACCAGGGTGACCCAAGAGACTCCCAGACAGTAACCCAACGTAGAACTGGGAAAATGAACAGCAGACCCCAATCTTATCTAAAGGAATATTGACAACTGATTGCTGCTAGATGAGGAAGAGCTGACCCTCCTAAAACAAGGAACTCTAGATAGACTGACTAGATTGAGTGGATAGACAAGCACTGGGAACAGCTGGGGCCACTGACAACACAGTGGACAGTAACAGGGATGACAGAGTATATGGGCTCCAGTGGACATAGGGGGAGGCTAATGGGAGGGTACCATTTGGGAAGTGGGCATATAGATGAATAAGATTGTTTGGGATGTTCTGTATGAAATACATACCAAAAAAATTAATTAAAAAAAAAAAAAGCACAGCTCTCATCTCAAAGAGAGTAAGAGATGGTTATTCTGGCACCATGTATGAGTGACTGGCTCAGGATTGCATGTTTCAACATGATAACAGTTTCATGAAGTTTTTATAGTAGAAGAACAAAAATTTCATGTCAAGGCACTTTTCATACACATTGTTGGGAATGTTGGGTAGATGAGTTAGAGGAGAGGGGAAACCCCTGCTGTCAGCCACTGGGTTGATGGATGTTCAGGGTCTGTTTGTACATTTCAAAAGGACTTATCTATAGGTCACTGGATGTTAGGTCACACACCAAGGTAGGAAATAAATATCTGTTAAGGGAATGAAACATGGGTGCAGATCATTTTGGCTTCCAACCTGAACCATTCCAGCTTTCTGGAATCACTCAGCCTTGTAGACTGCTTAACACACATGTGGCTTGTTTGTGGGAACTTCAGCTCATATAGACCAGTTATTTTGTTTCTCAGTTTATGTTTATGATGATTAGAGGCAAATCATATTTTCTTTCTGTTGGTGTTGTTTTGATTGAGATAGGGTATCATGTAGCTGACACTGGCCTTGAACTCCTGATCCTCTTGCTTACACTTCCCAAGTGTTGGAATTATAAGTGTGTACTGCCACACATGGCTCGGAGCTCTTATTTTTGACCAATTTCTGAAGCAGTGTAGTGCTCAGAGCCTGTGGTGATGCTTATCTGTTCCATATTGATGAGATTAACTTTGATCATTCTGATAAGGTACCTGCCAGGTTTTTCCATTGTAAAGTTACTGCTTTTCCTTCTTGAAATTGAGTAATTTTTAGAGAGATTCTTTGAGATGTGAACATGTCCTTTTTGGTTTTTAGTTTTTATTTATGTGTGCATGTGTGTGTGGGTACATGCACCTGTGCATGTGCAGAGGCCAGGAGAGTTAAAGTTGTAGGCACTAAGGGACTTGTTACGTGGGTACTGAGGTCTGTCTCTGGTCCTCACTGCACAGCAAGTGCTCTCGGCTGCCGAGCCCTCTCTCCAGCCCTGATGATCCTACTCTTTTGCTTTAGTACTCATTGTTGATTTCCAGACTCTCAGAGATCTGTATTGATGCGATCTGATATTGGACTTCCTTTTATGAAGAGGAACCATTGCTGTCAACTGGTTCTGGATTTGGCCAGTGACAGCACTTTCACATTGCTCCAATACCTGTCTCAGGCTTACCATGATATATGCAGCACTGCTTGGGGATCAGGAAACAGCCAAGAGAAAGTGAAGAACATCTCCTTAGTTCTTCCCTAGTGCACATGGCATGTGTCCGCTCCACTTAATTAATTTTATAATCCTGGAATGGGTGTTGTTATAAAGAGCACCTCAGAGATGTGAGGTGTCCATTTTTCTTAGACCTGGCAAGTGGTAGACCTGGAATCTACCTTTTACTTTTTCCCGTTTTTTATATATAAGTCACGTGGGAATAGAACCTTATTTACCTGATTAGCTTAAAGTTGAGCAATACTAGTAAATAGCTTGGTCTTTGTTGACCTATAGGGCTTGACCTACACAAGAACATCTTAAGCCTCTTTCTTTTTCCTTTTTTCTTCCTTCCTTCTTCCCTTCCTCCCTCCCTTCCTCCCTTCCACCCTTCCTCCCTTCCTTTTTCTTTATGAGACAAGGTCTCATTGTGTAACCCTGTAAGTTCCAGGCCAGCCTCCAACACAGAGATCTGCCTGCCAGCCTTAAGTCTCTTTCTTTTAAAAAATGTATTTATTTTTATTTTATGTGTATGAATGTTTTGCCTGCATGTGTATAAATACATTCGTGCGTGCAATGCCCAGGGAGACTAGAAGAGGGCATCAGATCTCCTGGAACTGGAGTTACAGATGGTTGTTAGCCACCATGTGGGTGCTGGGAACTGAACCTGGGTCCTCTTCAAGAGCAGCCAGTGCTCTTAACCACTGGGCCACCTCTCCAGCCCTCTTTAAGCCTTTTCTTAAAGGCTTCAATGGTTCTTTATATTTCCTCCCAACTTCACACATTCTGTGCTAAATGTATTTTATTTTCACTTTTCTTGAGCCAGGCTCTCCCTGTGTAGTCCAGGTAAAGTGTCCTTTTGCTTTCTTTCCCTCTGCTTCCTCAGATTTTAGCTCCTCTTTTTTCTCCATTTTTTTAAGCTTCTTTAAAATATTTAGTATTATTATTAGTTTTATTTTATGTGTATGTATGTATTGCCTGCATATATGTAAGTGCACCTGTGTCGTGCATTGACCACCAAGGTCAGAGGTGGGTGTCAGATCCCCTGGAACTGGAGTTACAGACTGTTGTAAGCCACCATGTGGGTGCTGGGATTTGAACCCAGGTCCTCTGCAAGAGCAGCCAGTGCTCTAAACCACTGAGCCATGTCTCTAGCCCCTTAAGCTTCTTTAAAAACTGGGACATAGGGGCTGGAGAGATGGCTCAGAGGTTAAGAACACTGACTGTTCTTGCAGAAGACCTGGGTTCGAATCCCAGTACCCACATGGCAGCTAACAACTGTCTAACTCCAGTTCCAGGGGATCCAACAGCCTCTTTTGTCCTCTGCGGTCATTGCATGACACGGGTACACTTACATACATGCAGGCAATACACGTATACACATAAAATAATAAATATTTTTTAAAAAAAAAGAAGCTGGGACATAGAGCCAGTAGAGTGAGAGGAACTGGGCGTGGTGGCACACACCTTTGATTCCAGCACTCAGGAGGCAGAGACAGGCAGATCTCTGTGAGATCAAGGCTACCCTGGTCTACATAGTGAGTTCCAGGCCAGCTGCGGCTACAAAGCCCCTGTCTCAGATTCCCACCCCCGAAAAGAGAGGGGGAGTTCTTCTCAGTCACGTTCATCGCCATGTTCCCTCCTGAGCTCATCATTCTCATTATCACTCTGTTGATACAAATACTGAGGACTGGAACAATGATGACCTTTGGTTCAGTAGTGGGACAATCCAGTGGAACTGTTTATTCATCTGAAACTAACTTTTACATTGAAACAGGAGAGAGAGAGCTTCTCTAATATGAAGTATGAAATGCTACAAAAGCCGAAACTGAGGGAGCTGGAGAGATGGCAGCAGTTAGGAGCCCTGGCTGCTCTTGCAGAGGACCCGGGTTTTAATCCCAGCACCCACATGGCAGTTAACACTGTCTGTAACTCCAGTTCCAGGGGATCTGACAGCCTTCTCTGACCTTCTTGGGCATTGTATGGGTGTGGTTTTTAAAAAATATTTTATTATTTTTCTTATGTGTATGAATGTATTGCCTGTATGTATTTAAGTGCACCTGTGTCATGCAGTGCCCTCAGAGGTCAGAAGAGAGAATTGGATCCCCTGGAACTGGAGGTACAGATGGTTGTTAGTTGCTTTGTGGATACTGGGAATCGAACCCAACTCCTGTACAATAGCAGTCTGTGCTCTTAACCACTAAGCCATCTCTCCAGCCGCTCAGTGCACTTATATACATGCAGGCAATACACTCATATTCATAAAATAAATAAAATATGTATTTTTTAAAGTGAAAACTGAACTGGGCGTGGTAGCGCATGCTCGTGATAAGGCACTGTCAAACCTAGATGCACTAGAAATGTGTACTATGTATGACCTTTGGACTTCATGTGTAAGGTGCCCATGAAACGTAAGTGAATTTTGTGTTTTAGACTTGGGGCTATTTCAGGATACCCTGTTTATATGCAAATACACAAAACCTAAAACATTTAAAACCTGAAACTTGGCTGGTTCTGTGTATTTTGGATAAGAAATACTAAGCTCATACTTGGTTCTAAAGATCCTAGTTTCTAGTCTCCAAAAATATTTGGATAGGGAAACACGTAGCATTTAAAATTATAGTACAACTTGAAAAGTGCAGTGATTCAGGTTTTTACAAAATGCCTTACCTAGGAGAGGAAATGATTTTCTGGTGGTGTAAGGGAAAGATTTCTGATGTGGAGAAAGGAAATCTAGGCTATAGACAACCATGTGTTGCTCAGGAGCCCAAAAACTGAGCAAAGAGGGAGGTGCTGCAGCAACATGCTAGATTTCAGGTACAAGGTAGCTGTAGGCCACAATTTGAAGTTTCTTTTAAGACTCCGTGAAGGTGACTTAGGCATTATTATTCCTCTAAGATTGTGGTAGATGCATGGAGATGTCTTTAAACATGTTTAGAATGTTAGGGTGTGTGTGTGTGTGTGTGTGTGTGTGTGTGTGTAATACCGTTGACTGGTGGTGACAGGTGATAGTGTGACCTCATTAGAATGGCTTGATGTCAGTAGTGGTTTTGCTGTGCTGACTTACGTAGTTTTAGCGGCTCATTGACATTGAAAACTGTCCTCGCTTTGTTGTCTTCACAAGTCCAAAATAGCTCTTGTACTTAGCCTTGATTTCTGAAGTGAATGATCCAACCAAAATAAGTCACTAAGTAAAACAGAATAGCTTTAAGTTTGTGGCTATGGCATTAAGATGGGCAATATTTTCAATATATACATTTGATTTGCCATAACCTCAACTGCCTAATTAAATAGATAGAAATATGATCTTTAAATCATATTACTAAGTAACTTTATCTTAAGAATTTTTTTTTCTTTTTCTTTATTTGTCTTTTTGACAGGGTCTCCCTGTAGCCCCAGCTGGCCTGGAACTCCCTATGTAGACCAGGCTGACCTCAAACTCACAGAGATTTGCCTGCCTCTGCCTCCCAAGTGTTGGTGATTAAAGGCGTGCACCACCACACCCAGCTTAAGAATTATTATTATTGGGGCTTTTTTTTTTTTTTTTTTTTTTTTGGTCTTTTTTTGACAGGGTCTCCCTGTAGCCTCAGCTGGCCTGGAACTCACTATGTAGATGAGGCTGGCCTTGAACTCACAGAGATCTGCCTGCCACTGTCTCCTGAGTGCTGGGATTAAAGGTGTGCGCCACCATGCCTGGCTAAGAATTGTTATTTTTAGTAGTTACATTTAAAACTTTTTTCAATCTATTTTTATTGAACTTTGTACATTTCATTCAATACATCTTAATCATATTTAGACTCCCTCCCCTATCTGCACCCCTCCCCAGTAGACCGCCCACCAGATTTCATGCATTCTGTCATATATGTTAAAGCCTTTGGAGTCAAGTTTGTGTACCTAGATGTTCCTTGGTATGAGTTCATCCACTAAGGTCTGGTCTAGCATCACTCACCTAAAGAAGACCAACTCTCCCTCACCCAGCAGTGATCAGCTGCTATATAGGTCCAAGCTCAAACTCAAGAGTGAGCCTCCTGTCTTATCCTCCTAAGTACTAGGATTATAGGTGTGTGCCACTGTGCCCAAGGTTGACAGACTTTTGACCTCGTCTATCAGCTATTTGCTTACTCACACATTTTTAACTATGAGGACAAACAACAGAAACCATTATTTCCCATTCTTCACTAAGAGCAATGGAGTATTATGCACAGTGCCTAGTAAATGCAGAAATGCAGCACGTTTTCCTCTTGTAACTATTGTACAGCTGCTTCACAGACACTATCTGGGTTTTGTTTTGTTTTGTTTTTTGGTTTGTTTTTTTTTGGTCTTTTTGAGACATGGTCTCCCTGTAGCCTCAGCTGTCCTGGAACTTGCTATGTAGACCAGGCTGGTCTCAAACTCAGAGATCCACCTGCCTCTGCCTCCAAAGTGCTGGAACTACAGGTGTACACCACCAAGCCCAGCTTACCACTCTCTGATTTAAGCCTCACAAGAACACTGAAAAAAAAAAATACATAGGGCATCAAAAAACTCATTTTTATTGTATGGAAGATAGTATTAATAATTGGGTGATACTTACCAAGAGTTATACAGCAGGGAAATGGCAGGCTGTTCTGTACCTGTGGTCTTATGCCTTCAGATCATATTTTTTGCTGAGAATAAAACAGTCTTATACAAAAATCTGTATCTATTGTGCCCTTAGTTAATACAATTAATCCTCAGGTGAATTAATTCAGAAGGTTATCTGAAGTTACTCAATAAAAGATAGTTTTTTATATTACAGTTGCAATTTAAACTGTTTGCCAACCTACATGTCCTGCAGCACAGGATTGGATAAAGAAAATGTGGTTTTTATACACGATGGAATTTTTTCAGCCATAAAGAATGAAGTTAGGTTGTTTGCCAAAAAAATTAATGTAACGAGATAATCATATTAAGCAAGTTAAGCCAGTCTCAGACATATTGGTGTTTTCCTTCATGTATGGTTCCTGTATTTTGTATAGATACATAATCATATACATATAAATGACATGAAAGTAAAAGGAAACTTTCCATGGAAACAAAGGAAACTGATGAGGGGCAATATGTTCAACATGTGGCATGCTCTTGAGTGGAAGTAAAAAATAGATACAGTTTTTAAAAAAGAAAGTATCCAAAAAGAAACAGAAATCCTGGTTGTATCACAGTTAAGAGTCAGGGATAACTATCTGTGTGCCAAGTCACTTTGGAAATAGACCTTGGTCTCAAGAGAGGCCATAACAGTTTTCTATTCAATTTGTCAGTGTATACTCTAGCATATCTACTGAAGATAATTTTAGATTCCTAATAATAAGAATTTGTTGAGTGAATGAACAAAAGAGCTCTATGTTACGGTCTAGTCTCCCGTGCTTCCTGGATTTCATCATCTTTCGCCACTCAGTTGTTCTCATCTTACTGCTTTGAATGACCACAAACAAACAAGAAAAAGGGTTTTCTACTTTAATACTTGTATTTATTACCATGGTTTTCTTTTGTATTCCCTTATTATGTATAAGCTACAACACACAGTTACTTAATGACATGCTGGAAGTAGCCCAAACCAGGGTCATCTTTTATTAAGGTGTCACACAGATGTTCTGTGCTATAGAGGCCATTAATGTTTAACTTATCTTAAACTGTCCCAGTGCTAATAAAGTGCATTTCATACCATGAGATTTGGTAGATGTAATATTTCATACTGTGAAATTTGGTAGATGTAGTATTTCATACTGTGAGATTTGGTAGATGTAATATTTCAGGTGCAATCCCATTAATATGTCTGTCAACCTATATGTGTCTCTTTTTGTAGTTTGATACCTATTCTTGAAGTTAATGTAGGTTCAACTAAATTTTGTTCCACGCACTAGCTTCATAGTCTCCCTACTGTTATTTGCTAGTCATTTTTTTAAAAAAGATTTTATTACATTTGTTTATTTGTATATGGATGAGTGAGTGTGGGCACGTGCCTCCCATGGCTCACGTGTGGAACTCAGGGGTTCTCGTCTTTCACCATGTGGGTTCTGGGGATCAAATGCAGATGGTTAAGTGGTCAGGCTTAATGGTAAGGGCCTTTACCTGCTCAGCCATCTTGATAGCACTGCGTGTGTGTGTGTGTGTGTGTGTGTGTGTGTGTGTAACTGCTTTAACCATCATTCATTTTAATTTTTCATAGATTCAGAAATTTTCCTAGTTCAGCAAAACCATCTTTGTCAAAGTTGCTAGCGGCAGCTGTAAGGTGTGTTGTCAGTTTGAACTTAGCAGGTGTTTTGCTCTCCCTTTCAGGAGTTGACAGCTCTTCAACCACAAGCAGTGCTTCGCCCCTGCCCAACAGTTACGATGCCCTGGAAGGAGGGAGCTATCCAGGTACCATGTTTGTGCTTGTGCAGTATTAGCTCAGAGGTGTGTGGCCGGCAGTCACTTTCAGAGGATGAGGATTACATCTGAGAGCAGACTGCATTTTAACAGAACAAAGGAGACCATTTTCTGGCATTCCTCAGCCTTATTTTAATATCACCATAGGCAGCTATGCATGTTGTTTATGATGGCCTGAGGAAGTTGATTACTTCTGGCTTTTCTTTTTTCTCTTTCTAAAAAAACATTTAATAGTGATTAATATTTTTCTTTCCCTTAAAAAATAACTCCTTAAATTTTTATGTTTCTGTTCTTATGCTTAGGTCCCTGAATTCCTTCCAAGTAGCCTCTGAGTATAAAACGCCTTTGATTCTTTCCCCCTGTGGCTCCTGGGTGCCTCTGCTAGGTAAATAGCCACCTGGGGGTAGGTTTTGGAGGCTTCACTCTTAACTGTATCCAGAAATAATATTGTACATGAGAATAGAGGAGGAGTAGGTGATAGTAACAGGAAAATAAACCAACTGTTGTAATTAGTAGTCTTTCCTTTATAGTAACTTTTTCTGTGATTTTCCTTATGCTCCCGTCTATAACTGACAACTACCTGGCATGCCCCCCTCCCCCACCCCATGACTTCAGCATTAGACTAACACAACAAATAATTTTGTCTTTTTCTTCATCACTTTAATAATAATCCAGGATGAAATGTAACTAAAGCTGCAGTGTGCTGTGCTTAACTAGGCATACCACCCACCAGCACTGCACCCTGAACCACTAGAAACCTTTGATCCTCTCAGCCTCGTGTACAGTTCTTCTCTCCACTTCTTAACAAAGCTTGACTAACTTAGTCTCTTGTGGTTGAGTATTTTTCCTCCTAGGAAATAATGGGTATGTATATCTGTGCATATGTGTAAGAAGTTATAAGCCATTCCAATCACAGTCAGTTACTAACAAGAGTTGCTTCATGTACTGAAATGTGACTGTGAAGTCTTTCTTGAGCTCTAAGTTAACTTGAAGTAAAATGTCTCAGGAAATATACTTAAAAAGAGTCAGTTATTGCTTTGTCTGTCTATACTTATTCAATCAACAGATTTTAATCTGCTTTGACAGTATGTCAGTGACTTTGGGCAAGTTTTGTAGCTATTTATGCTGCAGCAAAATTGAGGAACTATGTGAACATCTGTAACAATAAGAGTGACTATATGTCTAGAACTTTGAACTATAGGAAGATATGAAATATGTTCCATGGTTACAGCTCCAGGTATGTTTTTTTGTTGTTGTTCTTGGGTTTTTGTTTGTTTTTTGAGACAGTATCTCCCTGTGGCTCTGGCAGTCCTAGACCAGCCTGACCTGGGTCACACTGAGATCCACCAGCCTCTGCTTCCCAAGTGCTGGGATTAAAGGTGTGTACCACCACACCTGGCTACCACTGCAGATTTTTAAATCTTATACAGATGATGGTTGGTATGTTTAGAATCTTTCTGCCTATGTTCCTATCACCATGAGAAAGGACAAGCAGACTATCTAACATGAGGGACCACAGTGAAGCTCTTGTTCTTAGACGTCTGGGGTAGGCACCAGGAAGCCCAGGCGCTTATCCCTGTGTGAGCAGCACAGGAGGCAGAATGTCTAGGAATGCAGCTTTCAGATTTGAACATAGGTGTCATTAGAAAGATAGGTTTCTTCAAGAAATTCTGTAAAGCTGAATTTTTCTAGTAAGTTATATATTTTTCAGAACATATTTTAGCAAATTCTTATGGCTGCTGAAGAATACCATTTTATATGAAAAAAATCAAATGATTATAAATTATGGAGTTGACTTTAAAATAAGATTAACAGTTAATATATCAGTGTTAAAATGATTATGTAGTAATTTTTAGTTTCTGTTCATTGCAGTATATATTGCCAGTTTTTTTTACTTTTTTCAGTTTTAGTGAAATTCTAGCTTTCAAGCTTAAATAAAAGTGAAGGGCACTCATTCCTAAACTTTCTTAGACACCTCTTTGTGCCAGATACTGTTCCAAAAGCTGGGCACTGTTCTAGACACTACTTTTCATATTTTATTCACAGCTTACCTGTGCAAACAATGTAGATTTCTAAGGGATTGTAGGGCTGTGCCACTCACCTGACATTTTATAGTAAGGGTCAGATAGTGGGCACTTTAGAGGAGAGAGTAGTTGCTTCTCTTAATTGCTTGCTTTATTTTGTGCTCCTTTGCTCCAATCCTCCTGAGAAGCTTAAAAAACAAAAACAAAACACAACAAACTATATTAGTTGTGTGTGTGATTATTAGATGTACACTGAAGAACTTGTTGACGAAATTGTACATCAGACAAAACAATATGCATTGACAAAATATTGATAGTCAAGTTGGATGTACTGTTCATGCATCTAGTGGTCTGTTCATTCTCTATCTGATGTGTGCTCAAAGTTTGTCATAGTAAAACATTTTGAAAAGAGAAAGGAAATGCCAAAGGTTACTGCTTGCCGTCCTGATTTGGGGTTGTGAACACTTCTTCTCCCCTTCGCTAGATATGCATTCTTCTTCAGCAAGCAGCCCAGCTCCCGATCGTGCCCTGGAACCTAATCCTGCCCCAGCCCAAGCTCTGTCTCCAGCTCCCACTCCCACTGCTCCTCAGCCAGCAAAAGTGGCAAAGCCTTTTGGCTATGGCTACCCAACTCTTCAGCCTGGTTACCAGAATGTGGCAGCACCGCTGAACTCGGGAGCACATCCCAGTGGCCTGTCGTACTCTGGATTTCAGCAGTATCCTCAAGTATGTATCCCGTCCTATGGAGACTTCTAGGCTGAAATTCTAAATGTAAACATCAGTTCTACCACATCTTGGTATAGGAAAATAGGATTTTGTTTGTTTGAGACAAGTTTCATGTAGGTCAGGATGGCCTTGAATTCACTGTGTAGCCAAGGATGACTTTGAACTCCTGACCTTTCTTCCTCCACCTCCCAAGTGTTGGAATTACAGGTATGTGCTACCATGCCCAACGAACTTAATGAATTTCAAAAGAATGAGCACTGTCATTAGCCAGAACATATCTCATGCCTCTTCTAATCATTAATTCCCCAGATTGGGATAGCACAATGTTGACGTCTAATATCATGGATTACCTTGGCCTGCTCTGAGGAGTCATACTATGTGTACTCATGTATTGCTTGTGTGGCTCTAGTTTACTCGTCTTCATTCTTGGACTATTCTACCAGGAATGGAGTCGTAGTTTATTTTATTGTTGATGGGCATTAGGGTAAACTTCTGGTTTGAGGCTATTGTGAATGTTCTATTGTGAACATTTCTGTCTGTGTCTTTTATGCGAATGTATGTATCTAGGAGTGGAATTGCTGAGTTGTGGGGTATTCATACTGTTTTAGTATCAGTTGTCATGTCTCTGGGCATGCCTGTGGGGGATTATCTTGATAGATTAATTGAGGTGGGATAATCCCTGCCTGCTGTGGGTAGCACCCACTCCTGGGATGGGTCCTGGACTTTATAAAAAGGAGGACATGAGTTGAGCACAAGTGTTCATCACTCTGCTTCTTGACTGTGGCCGCAGCTGCCTCAGGCTCCTGTAGCCTTGCCTCCCCGCACCACGATGGAGTGTGGCCCTGAACGGTGAGCCAGAATAAGCCCTTCCTCTGAGGGTTTCTCAGAAGATTTTATCTCAGCAGCAGGAAAAGAAGCTTACTAGAGAGTCACACCCTTTCATTTTGTAAATGAAGAAATTGAGAGTTAAAGGAGGGAAAACACCTATCCAAGACATGGATTGGCTCTAGTCAAGCAAAATCATGTACATTTTAAATTTTTAAGAAATACATATATATAATATATGTGTACATACCATGGCATGTGTGTGGAGATAGGAGACAACTTTATGGAGTCAGTTCTCTGCTTCCACCTTTATATGGGTTCCAGGAATCAAACTCAGGTCACTGGGTTTTAGGGGCAAAAGTCTTTATCTGCTGAGCCATCTTGTCTGCCCAGGAATAAGTATATCTTAGTGTTAAGGAGCCTTCTGTAATACAGTTGAAATCCTCTTAGATGTTACTCATGGTATAACCCAGTGGGACAGATCTGAAATCTGAAGGCTTTCTTTGTAGTGATTTAATTTGAGATGACATTTACTAAGTGTTAGGAAAGGCCCAGCTTTTCAATTATAAAAAAAAAAAACAAAAAAAACACACATCTTAAGGGCTTTTTTCTTCCAGGCCACCTGTTTTAGGCTTTTAATACAGGCTTCCTCATTCATCTCCCTATTCTTGCTGAGAATTTTGAAACTAACTGGGAAGAAGAGGCATTTCTTACATAACTGTAATATAACTATGATAGCCAACAAAATTAATGATAATTTTAAATACCATTAACATTCAGTACATATACAAACTTCCCCCGGTATTTTAGAAATGCCTTTTATATTTGGTTATACAAACTATTAGCCAAACTGTAACTTGCCTATTATACTTGCTTTTATAATTCCCATTTTAATTTGAAACAAATCTTTACCCCTTTGTTTTCCTGCCTTTGATCTGCTGAGGAAATGGAGCTTGCTGTCTTGCAGGCTGGCCTGTGTTGGCCACTGCCGTATAGTTTTTGATCCATAGCTGAATGAACCTATAACCTATGGATATAGAGTTTGGACTGTACTTGTTTTAACCTATGTTTAGATAATTTCAAAACAGCATCACCTTTATTATTCTAAATGTAAAATTATTATATATTTGATTTGTTGTCCTTTTTTCCCTTAGATATATTTTGCCAAGAGGTAGTAAGATCAGTTAGAACATTGTTTTTCATGGTGCTAGAATGTAACCACCTTGACTTTGTTCTATTTATTTTGGAAACTTTAAGAATTTTTTCTAATCTCTGGTCATGATAGTAATTCAGTAAATTATTTTGAGTTAAGAAAATCCTCAGACTCACAGTAATACTAAAATATAACACAGAGGACAGAGAAAGTGCATATTTCTAAGGCATCAACTCATTGTCCTGAAAATTGATAAATGATAGAACATGAAAATAAGTATTTATCGTGCCTTTCCAATATAAACTATGTTCTTCATGTTGAACTGTTTAGCCTTGCTATAAGATTGTTTTTGCCTTGAAGTTTTAGTTATGCTTTAAATTAACTGCTCTATTAAGATATTCTTTTGTCAGGAAAGCTGATGTAAATTTTCTTACCTCAATTTTTCTTAGTATTGAAATCTAGTATTAAGAAACTCATATCATCTGTTATATCATCATTTTGTTTTGTTTTGGATTGTCCTTTCAGCATTATCCAGGTGTGAACCAGCTGTCCTCTAGTTTGGGAGGATTAAGTCTACAGAGTTCTCCACAACCAGAAAGCCTAAGACCTGTAAACCTCACTCAGGAGAGGAATATTTTACCTACGACTCCTGTTTGGGCTCCTGTTCCTAACTTGAATTTAGAACTCAACAAGTTAAACTGTAGCCCAGAGTAGGTACTCATTTATTTTATAATATTTTTAAAGATGATAGCTTTGATGAAGACATTGTATGATTTCCAAAAAAATTGTTAAAGCAGCATGGTTGTAATTCCTGGATTGGAAGTTTTGTTCATATGAGCTTTTCTGTCTTGGTTTGTATAGATACAGACGTAGCATTCAGCTTCGATTGTCTGTTCCTCCTCCTGGCTCCATCCCATCCTGGCTCCATCCCATCCTGGCTCCATTCCAGTCCTGGCTCCATCAGTTGCTGCTAGGGAGATTACTTCTGTCTAAAGAAGGGCTTCAGAAACTCACATCTAACAATAATTTTTCATTGCTAATCTTTTAATTAGTTAATTTTAATTTAATTTTTAATTACTAATTTTGACTTGCTTCAAATTCACTATGTAGCTGAGGCTAGCCTTAGACTAGTGTCAGCCCTCCTGCCTCAGCCTTCTGTGTGTGGGGATTATAAGCTTGTGCGTTGTATGTGTTATAAGCTTCTGTGTGGGAGGATTATAAACGTGTGTTGTGTGTGTTATAAACTTCTGTGTGGGAGAATTATAAACTTATGTCTTGTGCGTCATAAGCTTCTGTGTGTGGGGATTATAAGCTTGTGTGTTGTGTATGTTATAAGCTTCTGTGTGGGGGGGATTATAAACTTGTGCCACTGTGCTTGATTCCTGCTATCTATTTTATTTGATTATTTTTATTTTATGTGTATGACTATTTTGCCTGCGTGTGTGTATGTGCACCACATAAGTGCAGTGCCTGCAGAGGTCCAAAGAGGGTGTTGAATCCCCTGGCACTGGAGTTAGGACGGTTGCTGCCATGTAGGGCCCGGGTCCTCTGGAAGAACAGCAGGTGTTCTTAACTACTGAGCCATCTCTCCAGCCCCTTGATATCTTTTATTATTTTATTTATATTTATTTTTGTGTGATAATATATACATAGTGTATGTGTGTTTGGTATATGCCCACATGTGTGGGGGTGCCCAGGTGCTGAGACCAGAGGAGGACATGGGTATCCTGCTCTGTCATTCTGCTTTATTCCAGACAGGACCTAGACTGGCAACCAGCAAGCCCCAGCTATCCTTCACCCCCATAGCACTGGGATTACAGGAGCACATGTTCACTCTTGATTTTTACCTCGGTCCTAGGGATTTGAACTTAGTTCTTCGGGCTTAAATAGCATTCACTCTTATTGCTGAGCCATCTCCCCAGACCCCCAGATGCTTTTTAGATAAGGTAGAATCTTTAAATTTTCTTTCTTTAGGCTTTTCATGAAAAAGACAAGTGATCTCATTAATGTAATTCTAAGAACAGTTGTCAATAAGTAGGTTTTCTCTGAATTTTCTTTTCCAGTTCAGTACAGAACCTGCAATTATTGATGCAGCATAAATTTAGATCAGGATATCCTTTACTGAGAACGTCCTCACCTTCTACAAGCCCTGGTGTGTCTTCAGTGTTAGTTGGTGAGCCCTGTACTCACCTCCCAGGACCTCCAAACCCAGGATGCATTGCTTTTATGTGTTTTCAGTACTTCATCTCCTAAGAATGGTTCTTCCTTTGACCCAGGTGCTTTGTAGAAGACATCTTTCTGCACTCGGGAGTTTCTCTTCTACACATCAGAAGCTCAGATTGACAGAGAGCATTGTCCTCTTCCACACATTAGGAAAACCAGCGATCTTCAGAGCCAGTGTTCTCCTTGTTCTAACACAGTAGCTTTCTACCTTTGGGGAGGTATGGGGGAGATAAGACATCAAAAACCCTGCAAACTCCTTTTTTACAACCAAAATCTTAAATAGAATTGAAATATAGAAAACAGGCAGTAGGTGTTAGAGAGATGGCTCAGAGGTTAATAGCAGTGGCTGCTCTTGCAGAGAATCTGGGTTCGATTCCCAGCACCCACATGGCAGCTAACAACCATCTGTAACTCCACTTCTGGGGGACCTGATGTCCTCTTCTGACCTCTGTGGGCATTGCATAGAATGAGTGCATAGTTAGGCAGCACATTCATATGCTTAAAATAAAAATAAACTAAAAAGAGAAAACAGAAGTGAAATGCCTTTGAAGGTTCTCTCTTACCACACTACCAACAGTGTGCCATCACTTACTAAGGCAGTGCCCAGATCATTTCCATCAAAGCATAGTGCATTAAGGCTTATAGGTTGACAGCAACTTCCTATCCTGATTATAAGCTGTTCTTGGGGTGCTTATGGTCTTGTATTAATGAATGATCACACATTTCCTAAAGAGGCAAATGTAATCCATACCTATGTATATGATATCCTGGCTGGATGGAGTAGCACCTGCCATGATCCCAACATTTGCAATGCTGAGACAGGAGGACTGTGAATTCAGGGCCTACCTGGGCTACCTCACAGACCCTGTCTAAATTAATCCTTATAGGTAGAGAATAACATAGAGTTTTTGCTTAGTTATGTATTTTTTGACAGTAGCACTCTTATCAAAATAAGAAAGAGTAATTAGTGCCAGCTTTGAGCATAACAAACCCAGATTCTCACCATGGCCTCTTTTTGGTCTTTTTGAGATAGGGACTCCCTGTAGCCCCAGCTGGATGTAGACCAGACTGGCCTTGAACTCACAGAGATCCACCTGCCTCTGCCTCCCGAGTGCTGGGATTAATCCTTTAAAGGTGTGCACCACCACACCCAGCACCATGGCTCTCTAGGAGTAGGTCTGTGGCACTGTGACATTCACCTTTGAGTGTTGTTATCTGTTAGGGATATAGGCTCAATATTTCTTCTCCAAAATGCTTCAAACTACAGGTGTTTTAGCTTTTGGGATTTTGGGCACTTTGGACTGTATTCATTGGTTGAGGGTCTTTAATGGAAAAGTCTGAAATACCCCACATTATGAAACCTTTGGAGTGTCCTGTGTTTACTCAAAATATTTTGAATGGAGCATTTTAGAGTTTATATTTTCAGATTAAAGATGCTGAAACCTGAAATAATAGTGCCTATACACTATTAGGCAAATCAGATTCAATAAACATTATCTATGCTTTCTAACTTAAGAAAGCAAGGCAGGAACAAAACATGTTTCCTGGAAAAAGTTGTATTTTGAATCATCAAACTGCTAAGTTTATAAAATGAGGTCAAGGTACTGTTACGAAAAGATGTGAGTAGGGAGTAAGGGGCTGTAGCTGTTTGCATTGAGGAGTCTGGGTCTTCCTGATGATTGAGCATTGGAGTAGAGATCTGAATGTGGTGAGAGAGCAGCACAGGGGGCTCCTGGGGAAAGCGATCCTGGCTTCTGGACCACAGGGAGGTCCTAAAGCACACTAAGCCTGGAATGACCATCCCTGCATGGTAACTACATGCGCAACATGCCTGTCCTGCTTCCGGATACTTGACTATCCTTTATTGACTTTGTTTTTTTCTTTTTTTTTTTTTTTTTTTTTTTTTGTCATACCTTCATAAGCAATTCTAGGGTGACACAGCAACAAAATGACCTCTGATCTCAGGAGAGAAGGCAGACCAGACACAGAGCTAAGTTAGAGCAAATCAAATGCAGAAGCTGTTCCTTGTGCTGTGGGGACATAGAGGTGGAGAAGTTTCAAAGGAAGCTGTAACTGATGTGATGAGTCTGCTGGGAAGGATGAGTCTGGGTGGGAAGGGGTGGAACAAATGGGATGGCAGCTTTAAGGTGGGATGCCTTGCCATCCATGTTTCCTGCATCTCCTTCATGCTGCCACGTTCCACCATGAAAATGTGCATTCCTTAATTCAAGGCTTTTGACATTATTATGTATATGCCTTGTTAAGTAATGAGGACTTTCCTGCTAATGTTGTAATGACCTGCCCACATAATTTTTGCTTCCACTCTTAAGTGTTCTTAATTACTCTGTCCAATTCAGTGTATTTTTTTCTGATAACTGATATACTCTGTGTTATGTCTTTTGCAGTTCCTTTCGATGTACTTTGACAAATATTCCACAGACACAGGCTTTATTGAATAAAGCTAAGCTTCCTTTAGGATTATTGTTACATCCCTTCAGAGACCTAACGGTAAAGTAACATTTTAAATACTAAATTCAGACATATGCTTATGTACAAGGTATCCAGATATGTGTGTTCTTAGAATTTTCATGGTCTTTTATCAGAATTATACATGATCATTTCTGGGTTGATGAGATGACTCAGCAGGTAAAAGCACTTATCACCAAGCCTGACAACCTGAGTTTGATCTTCAGGATCTACATGGTGGAAGGGGAAAGCTGACTTCTGCAAGTTGTCGTCTGACCTCCACATATAGTCACACATACAAATTCAAATAAGTAAAACATAATAAAATTTTTTAAAGAAATAATCTCTGTCAAATTCAAGTCAACAAATATATATTACATATGCTTTATAGCAAGCCCTAAACTTAGCACTCATAATATAGAGATGATTAAGACACTGATCTTTTCCCCAAGAATTTATCTAACAGGAGACAAAGATGTGAAAAACAAAATCAGGTAGGTAGCACAGAGGCAGGCAGATCTCTGTGAGATCAAGGCCAGCCTGGTCTACAAAGTGAGTTCCAGGCCAGCCAGAGGTACCTAGGAAGACCCTGGCTAAAAAAACAAATACATAAATAAATAAAAATAAATTGTAAAAAATTTTTAAATGAGAAAGCAGGGGCTGGAGAGAGCACTGGTTGTTCTTGCAGAAGACTGGGGTTCAAATCCCAGCACCCACATGAAGGCTAAGAACCATTAGTAACTCTAGTTCCAGGGGATTCAGTACCCTCCTCTGTCCTCTGTGGTCACTGCATGACACAGGTGCAGTTACATACATCCAGGCATAACATTCATATACTCGTATTTAAAAATGAATAAAAATGAGAGAGCAATTATATGCTGAATAATTAACACATGCTTAATCAGATCTGAGATACTAAGTACAGTAGGAAAGTAGTTTCTCTGGATACAGTAGCAGAAATTTTTCATAAGAAAGCCTGACTGAGCCTCATTTTGAACTACTAATTAGTACTTTTGGAAATTGGAACCACAGTGCGTAAACTGAGTCTTTTATTAAAACAGTTTTTTCCAGATAGACAGGACAATTACCTGATGTTACGAACTAATAACCTTATGACAATAGGAGAAGCCCACGCCCTTCAAGTCTCACACACGTTCATTGTTCAAGTTTCTGTAGTATATTTGGTTCAATACCCACCTTGCTAGGTTTTGCAAGTTCTTGAAGATAATGCATTTAATTTTTTTTTTGTCTTTTGAGACAGGGTCTCCTTGTAGCATCAGCTGGCCTGGAACTCACTATGTAGACCAAGCTGGCCTTGAACTCACAGAGGTCCACCTGAGTGCTGGGATTAAAGGCATGCGCCACTATGCCTGGCTTTGCATTTAAAATTTTAAAATTTCAGAAAAAAATTTAGCCAAAGACATTCTGTTTCTACTTCGTAAGTTGCATTTCTGTCGAGTTTTTCTCCTGCATGAAGTTTACTTGCCCTGCTTCGATGCATGGGAAGTGTCAGAATAAGTAGAAAGTAAAATAATTATAATGTGCAGTAAGTTCTGTGGATGCATTCATTCAGTAAATGCATTTACAACCCTTAGCATTAAAGCCTAACAGTTAATCCCCTATATAGATAGGGGATTAGCTAAGAGTTTTTCTTGAGCATAGATTCCATATATGTTATATTAAGTAGATATACTGGCTGGGCGTGGTGGTGCACACCTGTAGTCCCAGCACTTGGGAAGCAGAGGCAGGTAGATCTCTGTGAGTTCAAGGCCAGCCTGGTCTACATAGTGAGTTCCAGGACAGCTGGGGCTACAGGGAGACCCCGTTTCAAAAATACCAAAAAAACGAAGTAAATGTACTAAATGTTAGCATGATGTCCTCTGGGACGTAGTTCTTAGTAAATTTTTCATTTTTAGTTAACTGTATTTCCTGATCCCTCCCCCATACACAGATGATATGTAGTTACTAGTATAATTTTTTAAGTACATTTTTTAAAATTAACTATAAAGATTATGTGTTGATTTTTTTTAAAAATCCAAATGAAGCATACTAAAGTGATAGTAGGTTAATTGAGCGACATAAACATATATGACTTAATCTCTTGTGTTTTCTAAATTTTCTACATTGACTTTGACGTTTTTTTCCCAGACTGAGCGTAAAGGTGTGTTTTTAGGGACATGATATTTGGCTTCTTCTGGCCTCAGCTCCCTGGGGTGGCTGTCCGCCATCCAGCCTCCCTGACTAGTACCAGGGGCAGACACTCAGCAGAGACAAAGGCTTTCCTGCATGATGTATATTTCTCCCTCTCTGCTGTTTCTTGAGTCAAGATGATTAGTTCTAACAGAGTGTTTTCTTGTCCCAGGTTCTTTTGTCAGCTACAGAGTTTTATTTTATTTGGTATGACTTTTTTTTTATTACAATTTGTGGCAAAAGAGGGATAAAACTTGATAGCTGCTTGTACCTCTAAGTACATCACTAGATTACTTAGTCCATTTACACTGAGATTCTTTTTGCTATTACAATGTCTTCATTTTCTTTCCCAGCAACTGCCAGTGATAACATCAAATACCATTGTGAGGTGCCGATCCTGTCGAACATATATCAACCCTTTTGTGTCCTTCATTGATCAACGTAGATGGAAATGCAACTTGTGCTATAGAGTTAATGATGGTGAGTCTGATTATTTTTTAATTACAGATTTTTTTATTTGTATTTTATGTGTATGAGTGTTTTGCCTGCATGTGTGTAAGTGCATCATGTATGTGCAGTGCCTGCGGAGGCCAGAAGAAGGAGCCAAACTGCCCTGGAACTGTAGTGACAGATGGTTCTTAGCTGACATGTGGATGCTGGGAACTGAACCCTGATCCTCTGCTGGAGCAGGCAGTGCTCTTAACCACTGAGCCGTCTCTGTAGCCCCAAGTTTCAGATTCTTTAATTGTCCTAATATTATTTTCTGACATCTTTGCCATTCAATTTTCCTAGATGCTTTAAAAACAACTTTCATGGCATTTTTAATGGTGAGAACATGGGCTAGGGTGCCTTCATTTTGAGCATCAATGTCGTACTTGATGATAAAGAGAATAACAGACCAAAGTAAAAGAGTGCTCTAAAAGGCAATGCGAGTAACCCACATGACCTTATACACCTGACACAGAGACCATCTTGCTTGTGTATTTGGTTCGTTGAACTCAGGCAGGCCTTAATGGACACCCTGCACATCTTCACTCATTCTTTAGGGCTTCCTGTTGCAATTACTTTCAGATTTGTGTTTCTCTCTCTGATCTTTTGCCATGTCATGTGCTATAATGGATGACACAAGTCTAAGAAGCAGGATTACCCATGTCTTGGTTTCCCCACATGATTTCAGAATGGAAATATATTCTGTGCAATGCCTAGGGAGGTTAGACAGAGCATTAGATGCCCTGGTGCTGAAGTTACAAATGGTTGTTAGCTGCCATGTGGGTGCTGGGAACCAAACCCTGGTCTTCTGCAAGAACAGTCAGTGCTCTTAACTACTGAGCCATCTCTCCAGCCCCCGATCTATTTTTTAAAAAGTGTTAAAAGGGGCTAGAGAGATGGGTCAGTGGTTAAGAACACTGACTGCTCTTCCAGAGGACCCAAGTTTGATTCCCAGCATCCACATGGGTGGCTATGAACCATCCTTAACTCCAGTTCCAGGGGAATCCGATGCCCTCTTCTGACCTCCGTGACATTGCACAACACGGGTGCCCTCACATACATGCAGGCAATACACTCATACACATAAAATAAAAATGATAAATGAAAGTTTTTTTTTTTAAGTGTTAAAAGGCTAGGCATGATGGTGCTTACTTTTAATCCCAGCACTTGGGAAGCAGAGGCAGGCACGCGATCTCTTTGAGTTCAAGGCCATCTAGGGCTGCATAATGAAACCCTATCTTTAAAAAAATAATAAAAGTGTTCATGGTTCTTTTTTTTTCCCTCATCATTAAATGTTACTACATATGTTTAAACACATGATGATAAACATGTTTAACTTCAAGTTTATTACTTAGTTTTCATTGAATTCTTAACTCTCATCTAGTTCCTGAAGAATTTATGTATAACCCCCTAACACGATCTTATGGAGAGCCTCATAAACGGCCAGAAGTTCAGAATTCAACTGTCGAGTTCATTGCTTCTTCAGATTACATGGTAACTATTCAGTTTTGTAATTAGTCATGGGTTATTTGTAATTTTCTTTTATGCTAATTCTTATCCAAATTTTGGATATTCTTTTAAAAATGTAATATGGAAGCTTATCTGTAACAAATAGAAAGCTCTTCCTGGGCAGGCATAGTGGCGCACACCTTTAATCCCAGCACTGGGAGGCAGAGGCAGGCGGATCTCTGTGAGTTCAAGGCCAGCCTGGTCTACGTAGTGAGTTCCAGGACAGCTGGGGCTACAGGGAGACCCTGTCTCAAAAAGACAAAAAAAGAAAGAAAGAAAGAAAGAAAGAAAGAAAGAAAGAAGGGAGAGAGAGAGAGAGAGAAAGAGAGAGAGAGAGAGAGAGAGAGAGAGAGAAAGAAAGAAAGAAAGAAAGAAAGAAAGAAAGAAAGAAAGCTCTTCCTAAATCTTGTTCAGTCTTCTAGAAGAATGGATTATGTTGCTAAGAAATATAGTCATGTTATGAACAACAACTGTAGTTAGTTGCCACTTGCATTTGACTACTTGGCTGGAATGGATATAGCCACTTTTACCATTTACCATTTAAGTCACTCAAAACAGAAGAACCTGGAGCATATTTGTGCTGAAACTGAAGTCTTAAAGGCATCACCGTCTTTAACTGCTTGCCCAGTACATCTGTCAAGATAAATGGATACTGACTTCTTCAGACTCTCGTCTTTCAAGTTTAATCATAAAATCCCATGTGTTCTTTATATGTAGTGACTGATTTTCTTCACCCTCTGTCCTCATCTCTGATATTTATATAAGCATTTGAAGCACTGCCAGTGGGAAAGGCAGACAGGAACGACTGATGCGCAGTAGCATGGTGGTGGTCAACTGATAGTGGTAGCGTGGTGGTGGTCAGTCCTTTGTTTTTGTTACGCTTATGGTTGTTACAGTTCAATTTAGTCTAAGCTAACTTACCTACAATTTTCATGTCAAGTTCTGTCTGTTAACTATAGCAAAATTTTCCTTGATCCTTCTCAACTTCTTACCTTTATAGCTAACTTACTGTGTTTTCAACTCTGAGGTCCTTAGGAAACTTCATCTAATTGAAGTGGCAAAGCAAGAACTTGTCCTTACCCTTTGTCTTACTATTTATAATAATGTTTGGTTGGCATGTATTTTTTAATTCTTAAAAAAATTCTGCATGTGGGGGCTGGAGAGATGGCTCAGCAGTTAAGAACACTGGTTGTTCTTGCAGAAGACCTGAGTTTGAAGCCCAGCACCCACATGACAGCTAACAGTTGTCCGTAACTCCAGTTCCAGGGTATCCAGCAGCCTCTTCTGACCTCCATGGGCATTGCACAACATGGGTGCACTTACCTACATGCAGGCAATACACACATATACATAAAAATAATAAAATTTTTTTAAAAGTTTAAAAAAAATTTTTGCATGTATGAATGTTTTGCCTTCGTGTATGTGTGCCTGTGTCTTCAATGCCTGCAGAGGCCAGAAGAGGGCATCAGAGTCCCTGGAATTGGAGTTATGGGCATTTGTTAGCCATCTTGTTTGGTGTTGGGAGTGGAACTTGGATCTTCCTGGAGAGCAGCCAGTGATCTTAACCACTGAGCCATCTCTCCAGCCCCTACGTGTATTATTATTATTATTATATTATTATTATTAATTTATGTGTACAAGTGTATTGCCTGAATGTGTGTAAGTGCACCCATGTCATGCAGTGCCCATGGAGGTGGAAAGAGGATGTCAGATGCCCTGGAACTGGAGTTGTTAGCTGCCATGCAGGTGCTGGGAACTGAACCTGGGTCCTCTGCAAGAGCAGCCAATGCTGTTAACTCTTGAGCTGTTTCTCCAGCCCCACAACATATATTTTTAAAAAGACTTCATGAACTGAGAGTATAGCTCAATGGTAGACCCTTGACTAGCATGTGTGAGCACTCGATTCAATTCCCTAGTAAAGGAGGAACAGCAAAAGGAAAGGAAGATGATACTGCGTGTCCTTTTATTATGTTCTGTAACTACATTTCAAGCATAGGCCTCAGAAAATAGCAATAATGAGCCTTCCTTTATCCATCACTTAGCTTTAACATTTATCGATGTAGGTATATTTGGCAAATGGGTTTAATCTATCTCTCCACAGACGCCACATCTCCCTTCCCCTACCTGGAATGTATCAAATTCTAATGTGGGGGCTGGAGAGACATAGCTCAGTGGATAAGAGCACTTGCTAAACAAGCATGAAGATCTGAATTCAGATCATAGGACTCACATAAAAACCTGGCCACACACACCCTAGTAACCCCAATGCCATGAGGACTTGTGACCCATCTCCCTATCTCCAGGTTGAGTGAGAGCTTCTATCTCAAAGGAATAAGGTGGACAGTGATAGAATAGAATACAAACATGCATAAACCACACACATATGTAACACACACATGCGCAGAGAGATGCAATCTCAGATACCACAGCAATCTGTTTTACACTCAGCACATTGGGATTCAGCCACCACCAAGTGGTCTAGTGGTTACTACAAATGGTAGGTTGTCAGGCTTTAATTTTTTTGTTGTTGCTGGGTTTTGTTGTTGTTTTGAGACAGGGTCTTTCTGTAGCCTAGGTTAATTTTGGTTTTTAATTATGTGTATGAGTGTGTGGGTTTGTGTACTTGGGTACAGTACCCACAGAGGTGAAAAGGATGTCAGATCTCCTGGAGCTGGAGTTACAGGTGACTGTGAGCTGTCTTGATGTGGATGTTGAGAACTAAACTTGGGTCCCTCTCGAAGAGCAATATGCACTCTTTAACACTGAACCATCTCTCCAGCCCCAAATTTTAATTTAAATATATGCAAATTTTTAATTAAAAATTAAAATTAGGGGCTGCAGATGTAACTCAGTGTTAGAGTCTGACTAGGATTTGCAAGCCTCTAAGTACAGTTCCCAGCACTATAAAAAGCAAAAATTAATTTGAAAACTAAAAAGTGTATAAATGTTTTTGGGAATAAGGACCGTATATGCATTTTTAGATTGTGGTTACCATTAAGTAATAAGCAGCGTGCTTTTGCTTTAAAAGATGTGTTAGCCAACATTCCCTACCAAGAAAACATTGACCATACCTACCTACCCTTTATAACTGTCTTATCATCCTACAATGAACTTTAGAAGAAAAAAATACACACGTGTCACTTGATTAGCTAAGGCAAGATACTCAGTGAATGCCCAGTAGTGACGGTGCTGGGCAAAGAATGACATGCCCTGAACAACTGCCATTCTGTTCCTGCAGCTGCGCCCTCCTCAGCCAGCAGTCTACTTGTTTGTTTTGGATGTGTCTCATAATGCAGTGGAAGCCGGATATTTGACGATTTTATGCCAGTCATTATTAGAAAACTTAGACAAGTAAGAGTATTTTTATTCACATATGCACATTAAGCATGTATAAATGTAAAGTGTTGTGTTTCAACTTGGGGGAGTTGATTTTGTTATTGTTAAATTTTGTTAGGTTTGACTACATTTACCTCTAAAACTTACACTGTACAATAAAGTGTTCTGCTCTTTCGATTGTTATGATTTAATGGTTTGATATCTAATTCATAAGATAAGAAATATTTTAATATTTTGCAAGAACTTAGATTTTGTCTATACCTTTGACTAGCTGACCCGAACACTGGGACCCAGAGTGCTTGACTTGGTTTGGGTTTCAAGAAGTAACATGGGTGTGCTTACCAATACATGCAGGCAATACACTTGTACACAGAAAATAAAAATAGTAAATAAAAATATTTTTTAAAGTGTTCTTCGAATGCAGGGGTTACAATCAAAATACATTGTATGAAGTTCTCAATAAAAGTATTTAAAATATTTTATTTATTATTTTTATTTTATGTGTATGAGTGTATTGCTTGCATGTGTGTAAATACACCTGTGTCATGCAATGCCCACATTGGTTAGAAAAATGTGTCAGATCCCCTGGACATGGAGTTATGATGGATGGTTGTTAGCCCATGTGGATGCCGGAAATTGAACCTGGGTCCTCTGCAAGAACAGCCAGTGCTTTTAACCAGTGAGCCACTGTCATTTAGCTAATGGGCCGTAAGTCTTGACCAGTACTGGCATCTGAGTGCTGCTTTCACTCTATGCTCTCAAATGCTTTTGACAGACCTTGAGACTGTCTGAATAACCTGATAGTCCTCCAAAACAGTGATATAGCACCATGCACTTAGACTTTGGGTCTTTCAATACTCAGAAATATTTTTAAAGCATCACTAGAACAATAAACTACAGAACCAGTCATCATAGTAAGTTGTACTTTGAAATGCATGTCCACAGCATAGTGTCACCAAAGGAAGCTTGACCTGCACTGAAACCACATTGCTTTGTCTTATGTGGTAGCAGGGAGTTTTAGCAGAAAACTTACTTTTTAAAATTTTTTTACTTTTTTTGAGTCAGGATCTCCCTGTAGCCCCAGCTGGCCTGGAACTCGCTAGGTAGACCAGGCTGGCCTCCATCTCACAGGGATCTGCCTGCCTCTGCCTCTGAGTGCTCAGATGAAAGGCACACACCACCATGTCTAACTAGTGGAAAACTTCTGTCTTTTTTTTTTAAAAAAAAATTATTTTTATTTTATGTGTATTTGTGTATTGCCTGCATGTAGGTAACTGCACCTGTGCCACACAGTGCCTGCGAAGGACAGAAGAGGCTGTCGGATCCCTTGGAACTGGAGTTACAGACAGTTGTTAGCTGCCATGTGGGTGCTGGGATTCGAGCCTGGGTCTTCTGCAAGAACAGCCAGTGTTTGTAACCACTGAGCCATCTCTCCATCCCCAGTAGTAGAAAATGTCTTAATGATTGATGATCAACATTTCAATGTTCATAACTATATTTTCTGTTTAAAATTCACACATTAAAGTCTAACTTAAGCACACAAGGGTATTTCGGCCAAGCGTGTGCCTCACACTATAATCCCACACTCCGGATGTTTAGGCCAGATTGCCCCAAATTCCAGGGCAGCTTGTGTGAGAGACCCTGTCTCAAACAAAGCAAAAGAGTATGTGTCAAAGGAAAGTTAGCAGGAAATCTTGAACTTTTAATAATCATTCTGGGGTTTTTTTGTTCTCAAATACTGGTATGTTTCACTTTTCTGAAGTCTGAATTCTAAACATTTAAGTGGTTTTACCTGAAAATGAGATGCTTCATCTTTGTCTATGTTATATTTTATATTGGTTTAGATAGTTTTTCTGCCTCATAAAAACAGCATATGTAGCTATCCTTAGACGTAGTCCACTATTTCGTTGTTTTGTAAAATAATATAACTGAGCACTTTGAATTTAAAGTTGCCGTTTTTATCATAGGCTTCCTGGAGATTCACGAACAAGAATAGGATTCATGACTTTCGACAGCACTATTCATTTCTACAACTTACAAGAAGGATTATCACAGCCTCAGATGTTGATTGTATCCGATATCGATGGTAAGCCGTTTGCGGAATGCAGCCTTTGTAGCTATGGCCTCTGGAGCCAAGGCTGCTTCATTGTAAAATCCACTCTGTCTTATCCTGGGAGAATAATTTGGTGCACTGTGGCATTCATTTTAAGATCATTATTTTCTTGGAAATACCTGATTCTAAGTTGTTTACACTTGTGTGTATAATACACGTGCATATGTAACATACAGAGTGTTTGTATTTACCAAAGTGACATTATACATGTGGCAAGTATCCTGGTAGAATCATAATTTTCTCACTTATTTTGCGCTTTTGACTTGATTTGTTGATTAAAATTTGTATTTTCCTTATAGATGTTTTTCTGCCTACGCCGGATAGTTTACTTGTGAATCTGTATGAAAGTAAAGAGGTGAGATTGATTTGTTTTCTCACAGTAATGAAGCGTTTGTTACGTCAGCTGTTCCGATGTTCACATTTGCTTAGCTGACACGTTGCGTTTAGCTAGGAGACAAAGTAGACAGCATCTGCAGTCCCTAGTTCACAGTCCCCAGATGAGTCACATGGGCTCTGTTCTGGAATGTTTTAGACAAACTGTCTTGCCTTCTCAGTAATTCAACTTTTAATCTTTGTCTCCTCAGCTTATAAAAGACTTATTGAATGCATTACCAAACATGTTCACCAATACGAGAGAGACACACAGTGCCCTTGGTCCTGCACTTCAGGCTGCCTTTAAACTAATGTCTCCAACAGGTGGCCGCGTGTCTGTATTTCAGACACAGTTGCCTTCCTTGGGTTCAGGACTCCTGCAGTCCAGAGAAGATCCTAATCAGAGGTCAAGTATCAAGGTATTTATGTTTAGTTTGTGTATTGTAACCACTGATTTTTTTTTTTTTTCTTCAGACTGAAATTATTTTTTCCTTCTTTTTCTTTGCTTCATTAATAGTAGTAAAAAGTTAGGCTGGGCATGGTGGCACATGCCTTTAATCCCAGCACCCAAGAGGAAGATGCAGGTGGAACTCTGAGTTCAAGGCTAGTCTGGCCTACATAGACCCTGTCTCAAAAAAACAAAAAATAAAACTAGCAGGGACTGCACATTGGTGGCAGTGTGTCTTTAACCCCAGCAGAGGCCAGCGTGGTCTACATAGTGAGTTTCAGGCCAGCCAGTGATAGTGAGACCCTGTCTCAAAAACAAACCAAAAACCTAGTGAGCCAAATTATATTTATTTGGGAATTTAGTATGCTCTTTTTATGATTTTGTTTGCAAGTTATAAGAATTTAGAAATTTGGTCTGAGGGTATGACTCAGTGGGTAAGAGCACTGGTCACGCAAGCCTGGTGACCAAGTTCAACCCTGGAACTGACTTAAAAAGCCAGATGCCGTGGCCCACATCTATAATTCCATCTCCTAGTGTGTGTGGCATCTGCACACTCATACCCACCCCACATACAAAATAAATAGTTTTAAAATGTTTGGAAATCAACCCTATTCCCTCCTTTTACAAATGAAAGAACGGAGTGAAGTGTCATGGCTGTCTAATGGTAAGGCTGTGGCTTGATTGTCTGTCCCTGATGTCATTTTCTATAATACAAGTGGAAACCAGTAAATCTAAGATAGTATAATTTACATGCTCATACTAACAAGCTTTCTAATTACAAAGGCAATACCAATCATTGTGTAAAACTTACTAGAAAAAAAACATAAACCATCAGTAATCTCATAGTCCAGGGATAGTTATACAAATACACATGAGCAAGTGCAGTGGGTCTTCATTCATACAGACTGTGTTTTTATCCTGACCCTTTTCATTGTGATCGCTGAGGTTGCCCAAACTCTAGATTGCATGTATCAGTCAGTAAATGTGAAAGTACTCAATTTAACTATTCAGTAGCGGGAAGGCCTTTTTAAATCTTTAACTCTCATGTTGTATAACAGTCTATCATAATGTTCAGTAGGACTTAATCTGGAGCTAGATTTCTTTTGTTTTTTTTGAGACACAGTCTCTCTATAGCTTCACTTGCCCTGGAGCTTTCTGCATAGACTAGGCAGGCCTCAAACTCAGATCTGCTTGCCTCTGCCTCCTGCATGCTGCGATTAAAGGCATGTACTACCATGCCTGACTTGGAGCTAGATTTCTTCATCAGCCTTATTTCATCAGTCTTGTCACAGTTTTCTCATCTATGAAAGATAAATAATAAAAATCCTACGGGATCTGTTGGGAGATTGAATCATTTGATTACGTAAAATATTGCAAGCAGTGCTGGGATGTGCTCCCCTGTGGTAGAGGTGAGAGGTTCCCACTCTGTAGCCCAGGCTACTCTTGAGCACATAGCAGTCCACCCGCCCCAGCCTCCAGAGTGCTGGGTTTTGGGTCTGAGCCACCACATCCTGCCATAATACTTTCTTATAAACACCAGCTGTTCTTGCTGTCATAAATCTGCTCACACTCCGTACTTTGGTAATGGAATAAAGGATATCTTCTTCCTTACTATAAGAGAGATTGAAAATACGTGCATAACTAAAGACTCTTTATGATCTGTTGGCTTAGGTGGTACAGCATCTTGGCCCTGCAACTGATTTTTATAAGAAACTTGCTTTAGATTGCTCAGGACAGCAAACTGCAGTGGATTTGTTCCTTCTAAGTTCACAGTATTCCGATCTTGCTTCTCTGGGTAAGATGTGGTGTTACCTACTTACATAAGCATTTTTAGCATATAATTAAGTCTGTTCTTTACTAAGCTTTCTCTGTTTGGGGGAAGAAAGGTGTGTGAATTAGATACGTGATATCTATGAAGATTATCCGTAACTTTAAAACTACAAAGAGAAAATGCTTTTGATACTCTGCTTACATAGCATGATTTCCGTAACAAACTTCAGTATATCTTCTATTTTATCAGTGTTTCAATTTTCAGGCTTATGCTGTTCTATTCACGTTAGGTTTTCTCATCACAGCTTAGATTTTTTTTCACAATTTGGGCTCTGTACTATCGTTAGACAAGTGGAGTGTTACTTCCATAGCTAACCCTTTGCCTGTTTCTCTCTAAAGCTTGCATGTCCAAGTTTTCTGCAGGGTGCATCTTCTACTACCCTTCCTTCCACTCCACTCACAGCCCTTCCCAGGCAGAAAAGCTACAAAAAGACCTGAGACGGTACCTCACCAGAAAAATTGGATTTGAAGCTGTAATGCGAATAAGATGTACTAAAGGTATGAACTTGTGAAAAGTGTGTGCTCTGTTACATCCCGATCAGTCTGAGCATTCACAGACAGCGTTTATGACACTGTGATGACGGCGTTTATCAGAGAAAACTTGCAGTCTGAGCCAGCTAGCCCCTGTTTGAAATACATTTTACACACACACACACATACACACACACACACTGATTGAAAATCATTGTCCAATTTCTTTAAATAGTTTGAATAAGTGAATAAAAGTAACATTTCTGTTTATTCAGCAAGAACCTGAGGGAAAGTGCATATTATTAAAAGTTATTTGAGAGGGCTGGGGAGATGGTTTAGCAGTTAAGAGTACTGGCTGTTCTTGCAGAGGACCTGGGTTTGATTCCCAGCACCCACACTTACTGCTAACAGCCGTCCATAATTCCAATTCCAGGGGATCCGACATCATCTTCTGACCTCCGTGGGCATTGAATGACACATGTGCACTTGCAGGCAATACACTCAGACGCCTAAAATAAAAAATAATAAATAAAATATTAAAAAAGTTATTTGAGAGTGATAATCATGAGAGAGGAATGGTCTCACGTGTAGATTGTCCCACTAAGGATCTTTACTTTTACAGTCATCTAATTTATAATTTCCTTAGGTTTATATGAGTGTTTGCTGGATGAATTCTGATCCCTTATATTAAATCTAAGATAAGCAATGCTCAGGTGTAACTTTATGTATTGTATCTATGTCTGACTGGCATGTAAGAATATTTTAGTAAGACTGGGTAAAAATAGGTTAAATGGTTGGGCATGGTGGCACACACCTTTGATCCCAGCACTGAGGCAGAGGCACATGGATCTGTGTGAGTTCAAGGCCAGCCTGGTTACATAGTGAGTTCCAGGCCAGCTGGAGCTACAGGGAGACGCTGTCTCAAAAAGGGAGGAAAAAAAAAAAAAGGTTAAATATGCAAGTTTATGTAACCTGTGTTTATTTTTACTTATTTTTATTAGAACCTCTGCCTAGATGCCAAGCTTACACCTTAGTTATTCTTTGATTCAAAATCAAAAACATCTTTATGAACTCACTTTAGCTGGAGGTGAGGAGGTTGCTGCTACTTCATCTTTAATCCCACACTTTCTCTTTTTTAGGTCTTTCAATGCACACTTTTCATGGAAACTTCTTTGTTCGTTCCACTGACTTGCTGTCTCTTGCCAACATCAATCCTGATGCTGGATTTGCAGTACAGTTGTCGATTGAAGAAAGCTTGACAGATACTTCCTTAGTGTGCTTTCAAACAGCATTGTTATACACGTCAAGCAAAGGTAATGTTATCAGAAATGAAATGCAACTTGTAACTTTCGCTCCTCTGTTCACAGCTTTTGTACAGAATGGAGAAAAAGAGTGAATGCCGGTGGGGAGGAGCACCTTCGCCTTAGATAACCAAGTATCTGTTCTGTTGCTTCTTCTTTCTTTAATTATGAGTGTGTGTGTATGGTAGGTGCCCATGGAGGCCAGAGGATCTAATTGTGTGTGTGTGTGTGTGTGTGTGTGTGTGTGTGTGTATGTGGAGATCAGAGGAAAACTTCTGGGAGTTGATTTTCTCCTTTCACTACGTGGGTCCCTGGGATAGGACACAGTGGCAAGCGCCTTTCTCACTGGCCCAATGCATACTTTTTAGCTTGTGAAAAGTTTATATTCCAGGTATTACATTTCTGACAAGCATGCTAAACCCAGTTCCGCCCCCTTTTACATTATTTCTTGCATTTTATAATTTAAAAACAGCAATAAATGCCTTCATGGATTACCTGACAGTCTATAACCTTGCAGATACTTTAGTTAAGTATAATTTATTAAGAACAATGTTAAAACTAGAAACTAGGAACTGGAGAGATGGCTCAGTAATTAAGAGCACTTGCTGCCCCTCCAGAGGACCCAAATTCAGTTCCTAACACCCATCTCCAATGGCTCAGGACTTTGTGTAGCACCAGCATCAGGGGATTTGCCCTCTTCTGGCTTGCTTGGGCCTCCACAGGCACATGCATGCACTCATTTGTACATTGCCACACACAGACACGCACACAAAATTAAAAATGAAAAAACACAAACTAGATGGGCTGGTTGGAAAAGTGGCTCAGCGGTTAGGAGCACTGACTGCTCTTGACCAGAGGACCCAGGTTTCATTCCCAGCACCCACAGAACACTAGCAACCGTCTGTAACTCCAGTTCCAGGGGATCTGGCACCCTCTCCTGACTTCCACACGCATCGAGCAATATGGATGTGCTTACACACCTGTAGGCAATTCACTCATACACATAAAATAAAAATAATAAATAAATTTTTTAATTAAATATTTCTGCCAGTATTTCCATACACTCAACTGCAAAAAAAACCACTAATTTGAATAAAATGAAAATGAAAAACAGTGACTTGAATAAAATGGTCATCTGTTTGCTTTCTTTCTTAGCCTAAGGTGTTTTAAATGACATGTTCCATTTTATTTAGGTGAGCGGAGAATTAGAGTGCATACACTGTGCTTGCCAGTGGTAAGTTCACTCACAGATGTCTATGCAGGAGTGGACGTACAAGCTGCCATCTGCCTTCTGGCAAACATGGGTGAGTAAAATATGAAAAGGCAGGGGAGGGCTGGAGGGATGATCAGTGCTTAAAGCACAGGCTGCTCTTGCAAAGAACCCACATGGTGGCTAACAACCATCCTTAACCCAATCCAGTTCCAGGGGAATCCAGTGCCCTCTTCTGACCTCCTTGGGCATTGCATGACATGGGTACACTTGCATACATGTAGGCAAAACACTCATAGACATAAAATTAAAAAAATTTTTTTTAAAAAAAGCAGGTGAATGTAATTTTCTATCCTAAAAACAAGCTGGGACTATTTGCTCTTTTTACTCTAAAAATCCCCCATTTTTAAAAGTATAAGTACTAAATTTTCATTTACTGCAGAATGGGCTCATGATTCCTAAAAATCAAGATGTCCTTCAAGTAATAGATGTGTGTACAAATCCACACAATAGAACACACCGTAGCCAGGAATGGGAATGTGCTGTCAACACTGAATCATGTATGTGTGACTTTTAAAGACATCAGGCTAAGTGAAAGAAGCCAGACTTAGACCAGGTGTTGTGGTACACACCTTTAATCCCAGCACTTGGGAGGTAGAGGCAGGCAAATCTCTGTGAGTTCAAGGCCAGCCTAGTCTACATAGCAAGTCCCAGGCCAGCTGGGGCTACAGGGAGACCCTGTCTCAAAAAGACCAAAAAAAAAAAAAAGCCCAGATGCCATACTCAGATGACATGACATTCAGTTAAAAAAAGAATTAGAGGGTGGAGAACGGATCAGTAATTGCCAAGCCTGAGGACAGGGAGCAGATTTTACTGTAAAGGATCCCTACGGGGGATGATTTTAGAATGACAGACTGTTGTGGATCCTGATTATGTTAGCGATTGCATGACTAAGCATTTAACACATAACTACCGTAGAACTTCACTCAGAAAGTAAAATTTACTCTATGTAAATTAATGTAATGTTGAGTGTTTTTCTTTGGTTTGGTTTGGTTTGGTTTGGTTTTTTGAGACAGAGCCTCACTATATAGAACTGGCCATGTAAACCAGAGAGATTGGAACTCATGAGATCTACCTGCCTCTGCCTCTGGAGTGGTGAGATTAAAGGAATGTGTTTTATTTTTGATACATCTTTATGAATAACATGTAGTAAGCCTTGCTATTTTCTACATAGGCGATAACTTAGAAAAGTTGTTATTACTGTTGTCATTTGGAACAAAATTATAATAACTTAGTAAATAAGCACCTTCCCTGCCTCATTTGGTAGTTCTGGGGATTGCTCCAAGGACTGTCCACATAGTTAGGCACTAAGCCATACCTCTCTAGCCAAGGAGCCCTTTTTTTTTGTTGTTCTTTTTGAGGCAGGGTCTCCCTGTAGCCCCAGCTGTCCTGGAACTCACTATGTAGACCAGGCTGGCCTTGAATTCACAGAGATCCGCCTGTTTCTGCCTCCAGTGTGCTGGGATTAAAGGCGTGCGCCACCACGCCCGGCTTAGGAGCCCAATTTTTAAAATGCTATTTTATATCTTGTTTTAAGTTATTTATACCATAGCAGATTGTTTTTCAATGTGCCTTTATTTTTAGTTTGTAGGCATATACAGACTTTCTATTTTAATAAATTTGTTCTTGGAGAAAACATTACACATTGGTATTTGCCTCTTGAATATCTGTTAAAACTCACGGTCACGTTGCCTTTTTTTTATTTGCCAAACTGGATTGCAGAGATTTTAGAGAACACAAGAGATAACTTAGATTGTGGATTTACCATGGTCATGCACAGGGAAAAAAAGATATTTTATCATAAGACTTTAATTTGAGTAGTAGAACTATCCCCAGGGCTTCCTCAGAATAGATGGAAAATAGTGTTCTCTAATAGCAGCAGTGGCTAAGTGATCTCAGACTTAAAAGTGCTCAGCGTGTTTTTGTTCATGTGTTTGCTTGGTTTGGAGTTTGTTGTCTTTATGAGACAAGGTCTCACTGTGTACCAGTGGCTGGCCTGGAACTCACTATGTAGATAAACTGGCCTTCAGTTTATAGCCTCTGCCTCTCAAATGTTGGGATTATAGGTGTGTGTCACTAGGCCCAGCCTAGACTTAAGAGGTTAAAACTGCCAGAACCCATGTTTTAATAAAAACTCTAGCTTGGCGGTGTTTTCAGACTTGTAATATCAGGGCTGGCCAGCTAGTCTAGCCTATTTAGCCTCTGCACACACATGCACCCACACACATACGAACATGCACACATACCCAAAAGTTAACAGATGAAATGAATTTTCTTAAGTGTGTGTGTGTGTGTGTGTGTGTGTGTGTGTGAGAGAGAGAGAGAGAGAGAGAGAGAGAGAGAGAGAGAGAGAGAATTACTGGAATCTCATAGCTGAGAATCTTTTCACTTTGTTTTTTTGTAGCTGTGGATCGATCAGTTTCATCCAGTCTATCAGATGCAAGAGATGCCCTAGTGAATGCTGTTGTGGATTCATTGTCTGCTTATGGCTCTACCATCTCAAATGTGCAGCACTCTGCACTGATAGCCCCAAGCTCTCTCAAGTTGTTCCCTCTTTATGTCTTGGCACTTCTCAAACAGGTAGTTTTTCTATACATTTTGTTATAGTAATAAGAAAGTTCTCAGGCGAGTGTGAAGAAATGAAGTCTATATTGTTTATTTTTTAATATTTGGCTAGAAGATTATGCACTTTGGTATTGTAAGACTTGAAGAATGAGGGAAATGAGTGGAAAATTAAGGTGTGCAGATATGCTGTGACTCCTGTAAAACTGCATTTTTTTCTCCTTCATTTGTTTACACAGTTCGAGTTATGATGTGCCATAGCCCACTCCTAGTCAGTGCTCCTAAAAAGAGGCGCTAAGCTAAGGAAAACTTCTAATGTTTATTGAATACCTTTCCATCATTCCTGCCATCTTATTTAACATTTACAACTTAGAGTAGTTATTTCCTGGTTTTCTTACAATGAGGGTATAGCTCAGAAGCTAAGTGAACTGTTTCTAACTATTAAATGTCAGATAAGCTTTGAGTCCAGATCAATCTCATCTGAAAACATACTTTTTCCATGACTGATGGTATACATTTGTTTTGATATTTACTTACTGTGTTTTACTTGAAACATGTTTCTTTTTCTTTATAGAAAGCATTTAGAACTGGTACAAGCACACGCCTGGATGATCGTGTGTATGCCATGTGCCAGATAAAGACTCAGCCGCTTGTCCATCTGATGAAAATGATTCACCCCAATTTATACAGGATAGACAGATTGACGGATGAGGTAGCATTTTAGTGCATTTGTTTTGGTTTTAGAACCTAAGGTGTTAAGGTATTATCCAGTGTCTTCCATTCTTTTCCTCCCTGGGGTAGTAATATGTTAAATAAATTACAGACCTAATTATATGTTAGGACTTTGAGATGTTATCAGTCAGTGGATGGAGTTTTTAAAAATAGTTTCCTCTGGGACTAGAGAGATGACTCAGCAGTTAAAACATGGACTGCTTTTCCGGAGGACCCGTGTCCAGTCCCCAGCACTCACATGGAGGCTCATAACTATATAGAACTCCAATTCCAGGGGCTCTGACACCCTTTTCTGGCATTTACAGACTCTTGTATGCACGTGGTGCCCCTAAATTCATTCGGGAACAAACACACCTATAAAAATAATAGTACAGGGCTGGAGGTGGTGGCGCACACCTTTAATCCCAGCACTTGGGAGGCAGAGGCAGTCGAATCTCTCTGAGATCAAGTCCAGCCTGGTCTACATGATTTCCAGGTCTCTTGGGGCTCCAGGGAGACCCTATCTCAAAAAGATCAAAAAATTAATTATAAAAATAATAGTATAAAATTTTCTTGGGGGAAGTAACTCATGGGTTTGTTTTTAATATGTTAGCTAAGTTATAGAGTGATTTCCATTTATATTTTATAGGTATTGGCAGTTTTGATATGATAAAATTGTAATAGCAATTGCAAAGTAAACCAAATCTTTATTCAGTAATAATTTTAATGTACAAATATATAGTATCTTTTCCTATGTTAAAATGATATTCTTTGGAATTGATATTAATTCTAAACATAGTATTATGTAATAAGAGAAATCTAAAAAGTCGCCTGATGTGCAGCAGTCAGCTGTCGTATTTTTGATATATACTTACCCCAAACCCAAAGGGGGAAAACATTAGACAGATTAATCCATTTCACATTTCCATGGTTTTATTAAAATTTGAATACATCCAAATGTCTTCATTCTGCTGCCAGGGCAGTAATGTGTAGCCAGTATTTTTGCATCTTATAAGTTTTAAGTGTCATATTTTGGTATTTCGTAGAGTTAGTGATCACTGACTAGAATTCTGAACAGTGATGTAAGCTCACTCCTGCCTTTTCTTTTCAGGGTGCCATACACGTTAATGACAGGGTAGTACCTCAGCCGTCTCTTCAAAAATTGTCTGCAGAGAAGTTGACCAGAGAAGGTGCTTTCCTTATGGACTGTGGCTCTGTAAGCATCTTTATTAACAAAGCTTCTCTCTGTTTTGACTGGCAGAGAAAGGGGCAGACAGAGCTGTGAGGCAAGGAATCCAAGACTGGCACAAGAGCTCAGTTTACCCTAGACACTTAGGTTGGGCATCAAATGATCATAAATTAGTAAATTATCATAGATTATATATACTCAATAAAAAAGTTCATTCCTGCCATCAAGAACTTTACCATCAGGATCATAAAATTCAAAGGGATTCAAGAGTTTCTCTAATTCAACTTATATTCATAGTTATGAATTCTGTTAATGGTTAGGAGTTCAGGAGAACTCACTGCTAGGGACTGGTGGTGAAGGGTGTCAGGTAATCAATATCATGTGAGCAGGAGAAGGTGTGGATAGCCATAGAACCCATAGTTGAAATGAGAGATAATTAAAATGGCGAATGGGAATGCAAGCCAGTTTGTCCTTATGCATTGCGTTCCTGTTGGGAAAAATATAGGGAGAAGGTAAAATACAAGCGAAGAAGATGGGAACCACTTTTGATTGTTAGAACTAGGTTCACAATCTTCTAATTATAGGTTCCTTTTTGATGTTTGTTTTGTTTTTTGTATTTGAGACTATGTAATTGACCTCTTTATTGCATAATTGTGAGACGGTTCATTTAATGGATTTTCTTAACTATTAGGGAATTTAATATTACGTTGCCTCTTTTTTAGGTTTTCTACATTTGGATTGGAAAAGGCTGTGACAATAACTTCATAGAAAATGTACTTGGATATCCGAATTTTGCAGCAATACCACAGAAAATGGTCAGTGGATTTTTGTTGTGTTGTTTTTCCTGGGGAGAGGTGAACAATGTCTGTTCACCCCAGACACTGATGACAGACCAGAATAACAGCTTTATCCAAGCTCACCCAGTTTGGTGGACCAATGAGTTTATTGGGTTTATTGTAGGAACAGAAGTGCAGAGTTATTGACAGATGTGTGAGTGGCTCAGAAACAGCTGCACCACTGAAAAACCCTACCCCATCATGGGAAATAAACTTAGGAAAGTTTTACCATGAAATTGCTTTTCAGTGAACCTTCCACTCCTGTGTTTTCCAGTGCTAGAGTTAAAAGCGTGTGCCACCACATGTCTTTGAAAGGCGTGTGCCACCACATGTTGTGTTTGAAAAAAATTTCTATCAAAAAGGAATATTGTCTCCATGTAGGTAATCATTTGGGTTTGGGGGGCTTTTGTTTGTTGGGATAGGGTCTCCATGTAGCTCCAGCTGGCCCGGACTCATTGCACAGCCCAGGCTGGCTTTGACTGGCAGCATTCCTCCTGCCTCAACCTCCTGAATGTGGAGATTACAGGCATGAGCCACCGTGCCCACATTTTGTTAGCTTGTGCTGCCGTTCTTGACTCTCAACTAAGAGACTTAACCAGACCCCAGGATGAGAGGCTTCTTTCCTGTTGCATGTCCCGTAGCTTTTAGCTTCCGTTTCTGTCCTGCCTCACCATCACCACTATCTTAATTTCAGAGTACCTCCATCACTAGAAAGCAAGCTTGTATCTACGCTTATCCCCTCTGCTCCTCCCTGGAACTCCTTATCTGTCACTTTGCCTGTTCTTGGTATATGGGGTAAATGGAGTTACGTACTACATGGCCTTTTGTGTTTGGCTTCCAGTCTGCCGTGTCTGAGACAGCATCTGGAAGACCAGTGACATGGCAGTAAGTGCAGGCACAAGAACAGACAAAGAAAGAGGATTCATTGAAGTACACTTTGTGGACAGCCAGCGGGCAAGTTTCCAGAGAGAGGGGGTTGAATGGCTATGTGATGGAAATTGAGGGCAGTCTCGGCTTTGTCTCGTGAACCGTTTTTGCAGGGTTCATATCTAGACAGGTAGAGTGGGCATCTCACTTGCATGGAGTAGTATGTTTTACAGAGTAAGTTCTTTTCCTTGAGACCAGCTATAACAGGGAGTGACCAGGAGTTTTTAGGAGTTAGGCTCCCGGTGCTGACATCATGGGTCTCCAGGGTGGTCAGACTCCAAGTCGTTGCCAATATTGTTGAAGTGTGGGGATTTCTGCTATTTATTTATGGATTGGTTGATTGTGGTGTATGTACATGTTTATGAGGTATGTGCATGTCTGTGCAGGTGTACATGGTGGAAGCTGTGTGAGACAAACTCTCACTGAATCTGAACCATTTGTTCTGCTAGCTGGCTGGACAGTGAGCTCCAGAGATCCACCTGTCTCTGCCTCCCTGGGATTGCAGATGTACAACCCCCACACCTAGTTTTTATGTTGGTGCTGGGGTTCCAAACTCGGGGCCCTTCTTACACTGCAAGTGCTTTACCAACTGAGCCAACTCTCCAGCCCCTGATTTTTATTTTCTCAAAATTTTCATTGTGTATATTCATTGTACATGGTACTGTGTTACATAGGACATTTTTGTAGTAACTTTAATTTTTGGTTTAAATCAGTGTTGCTGATAATAAATGTAATTTTTTTCCGTAGACCTTTACTGAGTTGTATGCTAACCAATCCTAAGGACTGTCCTCAGAGAGGGATTCGGTGTGTTCGACTCTTTGAAAAGGAAGACCTACCTACTTTATTTTAGGTTTTCTAGATAAGACATTTTTCTTAAAATTAATATAATTCCAAGGTAGCCCTTGTCATAATCTGTTGCTTGATTTTATTGAATTGATAAATCCCAGAATTAATTTCTAAGATTCAGTAAGCGGGAATATTAGTAAACATTTGAAAAAGCAGAATAATGTCAACGAAAAGGAAAACTACACGAAAATCTTACTGGGCAACAGCAAACCATTCTAACGCTGTCGTTCTTTAAGTACACCTGTCCTGGCTTCATCAGCAAATGAATGGGACAGATTAAAGTTCAGAAATGGATCTAATTCACGAAAAACAAAGTATAGTGAAGAGTGTATTTCAAATCATGGTGGAAAGGTGAAATATTAGATGAATAATTTGGGGGTCACTGATTATCCATCAGGAAAAACAAAACCATATATTTGCTTTGGTCTTAATATCAAAATAACTTTTGAATGGAGCAAACACTTAAACATTAAAAACAAGGTCCTGTAGGTGAGCAGGAGAAAACACTGTTACGTTAACAGTGAGGCTTTTGTAGACCAGTTGCCTAAAACATAAATGAATCTGAGAGCAAATCAAAGAACATTTCTGCTGGTAACAAGTAAAGCTTAAGACTAACAGCAATAAATAGTAGACTATTCTAGCTCACAAGACTGAACACAGCTAACTTCTCCAGCATCACAACCCCTACTCAACAGAAATGAAAGATTGGCCAAGAGTTTTAAAACTTTTCAGTGAGCCAGTTAGAGATATCTGTTAAAATTAAATCTCATACAATATGATGTGGTAAATTATTTTACTTCTAAACATATGTTGTATATGTGTTCATGGAACTATGTATATATACACATGCTTATAGAGTTTAAATTCTATTATTTGAACTGTTTTATGTATTTATTAAAGGGAACATAGCTTGAAGAGGGAAGAGTATGAATAATATGTTAGCATTTATGTTTTCAAAATGTGTATCAGAGTGCAGTTTTTTAGCCAGATGTAATAGTGCACACCAATAATCACAGTGCTTAAGAGGCAGGTGCAGGATGATCAGAGTTCAAAGCCAGCCTGCCTGCACCCTATCTCACACAAAGAAGCAAACAACAACAAAAAAGCTTTTTAATAAGGCTTGGCATGAATCGCAAATATGGTACCCCAAACAGTTCAGAGTTCTGTTTAGGTTTTGCTATGGGGCGTGCTTTGAATTGCTGGCTCTACCTTGAAAAAGTGTGTGTGTGTGTGTGTGTGTGTGTGTGTGTGTGTGTGTGTGTACTTTTAAGCTGTGGATTTACAAATAACTAAATATAAATATAACCATGAATATATAGGTCATTTAAAATAGCCTGTAGTTTTAAAATATATTTGTAAATCTGCAGTTTAAAACTTCAAAAATTAAAGATGAAATTCTTTCAGGCTGCGATTTTTAGAGTAAGGTATGATATGTAATTTTAACATGAATTTGGAGCTTAGTGATAGCCCTCTTCATTTGAATATTGCTGTTAGAATAAGCAGAGTTTTGACAGTACTGGTGGAGTACCAGTGATTGTGTACATTTTATTAGATCAGCTAGAAAAATATTTAGATATCATTAATATGCTTATCAGTAAGCACACTGTTTTACTTGTCTAGAAAAATATAAGCTGACTTGGTGTTTTACATTTCCTTCTTTTGGCTGCTGCTGCTGGGTTAGGGTCAGAGTGCACGTCTGCACCTGTGGTAGTGGGGATCAGAGTTCTCATACTGCTACAATTTGCAAGATGGGAGATGCTAACCTGATTGTATTTCTTTTACCAGACACATCTTCCAGAGCTAGACACACTTTCATCAGAAAGAACTAGGTCCTTTATAACTTGGCTTCGAGACGGCAGACCATTAAGCCCAGTCCTTCATGTGGTAAAGTAAGAATCTTCACTGTGTGCGTTCATTATGATGTCATCTTTTCCTGTGCAAACTGTGGAATTGCTTCTCTTCAAAGCAGACTTTAATACATTCTAGTGGTAGCGTGTTGTGACTTGACTAATAACTCCTGTATTCCATTACCCTCAAGTCCCCTTGGATCAGTCATTTTAAATATATAATTATTTTTAATATATATTTTTAAATAAATGCCTTTTTTTGTCTTTCAGAGATGAGAGTCCTGCCAAAACAGAATTTTTTCAGCATTTCATTGAAGACCGGACAGAAGCTGCTTTCTCTTACTATGAATTTTTGCTTCATGTTCAGCAACAGATTTGTAAGTGAAGTAGAACACAATGAACTGGGGATAAAAGGACCCATAGCCTAGGTAAAGCATAACCCATCAGAGAAGCACATGGGAAATTTGAAACGAAGGCAGTTGGTTGTTACAAGACCCAATGCACAACGCTCTGGGGTTTGGGCAGAAGATAAAGGGGAAGAAGGAGCATCACAGGTTCTCTTCAGCCCGCGTCCACATCCGTGGTTGCCACGACACCATGCTCTTTCACCGCGTATATCGAATTGGTTTCTTCACATTCACAGTAGTGCAGCAGTCCAGTGCTCTTCGTCGCAAGCTGGCAAATTTAGGTAGCTGTGTAGAATGACAAGTCATGATGTACAATTAAAGTTTTTTTCTTATAATTAATATAACATTTCTGGACTTGAACTCTGATCTGACGGGATGCCAAAGGGCAGTGGTACCATGTTACTTGTTTGTATGAATTACTTTTTAACAAGGAATGATTCATATTCATTAAATGAATTCAGCATTCTCCTTCTAAAGGCAATAGAGTTTCAATACATGAACTCTAGGAAAAACACATACATAATGTACATAAGTGTTACATTTGTAAAGACAGTGTAAAAATGTAACTACAGAGTATGAAGTGCTTGAGCTATGCCGTTGCTGGATGGTGACTCTCTGTCACAGTTGGGACTGGGTGACTAATGCATATTATGAATCGAGCCCACAAAAGACACATAAAACTTTGTAACTCCGCTAAATCTTTTATGTGGATTTATTTATGATCAGCCTACTAATTAAAAGTATTTTGCTTGACAGTTGGTTTGATAGTTTTTTAATTTTTGTGGAGGATTTTTGGGTATGAGTTGTTGGTATTTTTTTAAACAATAAGAATCTTGAATTTACTTCTTAGGGGAAATGCCATATTGCATTTCATTTAATTATGTGAATCAGTACGTTTTCACTGGTTTATGGATGCTACCAAGTAATTTCTCTGTATTCTAAAAACATGTTTTCAAAATACATTTATTTGCTAAGTATAATCTTACCTCATTTAAATTAAGCATTTTCCCCTTGTAATGAGACATTTTTAATATGTGACTTTCCAGCTGGACGTGGTGTTGCACACCTTTAATCCCAGCACTTGGGAGGCAGAGGCAGGCAGATCTCTGTGAGGTCCAGGCCAGCCCAGTCTACGTTCCTAGTTCCAGGCCATCTGAGGCCACAGGATACCCTATCTCAAAAAAATAAATAAATAAATAAAGACCATAATATGTGACTTTCCTATTTTATTTGACTTGAAGATTATCATAACGAACTGAGAGATTTTGTTCTGATTAAGAAATCTGTCATTCACATTAGCTTATTATAAAAACTGTTGATGACCCATTAGACTGTGGAGTGAAGTTTTATTGTGTTCACCATATTGAACTTCGGAAGAAATGAGCCTCTTGGTGTATATGACTTTTACTGGTTTTGTGCTTTGGTAGATCTCTTTAGATACAAAGAAAGAACTCTTTCCCATTCCCTGATGGCAATGAGAGTTTAAATGACTCACAGTGAATGACATTACTAATTAATGGCAGAACTGATAATCAAAACTTAAGTTCTCGCCACCCACCTGCCACCTATACTGCCCAGTCCTCAGGACTGTGCCAGCAAGAGTCATCCCAGTACTCTTACGGGCAACTAAGTACTAACACTTTATTTTTGTTGTTGTTGTCTTTACTTTTTATTGTGTGTGTGTCTGTGTGTGTAGGTCAGGCCAACTTCCCTGAGTCAGTTCTCTCCTTCTACCATGGGTTTCAGGAATTCAGTTCACATCGTCAGGCTTGCCTTGCAAGTACTTTATCTGCTGAACCATCTTGCCAGCCTGGTACTGTCATTTTACAAAAAAACTATAATATTTCAACCTAAAGAAAAATGTTTTGTCATTGTATATTTTGTTGTTCATTCAAAAAATATTTACAGTCAGGGCTAGAGGGATGCCTTAGCAATTAGAAACATCAGCTGCCCTCCAGGGGACCCAGCTTTGATTCCCAGCACCCATGTAATAGCTAACAACCATCTGTAACTCCAGTTCCAGGGATCTGACGCCTTCTTCTGGCCTCCGCAGGCACTGCATGACATGGATGCATTTATTTACATGGGCGCAGAACACTCATACACATAAAATAAAAATAATTAAAAAATATTTACAGTCACTTAGCATTTGCCAGATACTGTTCTAGGCACAAGACAAAAATCCCCACATCCACAAAGCTTGCATTGTTAAGTGAGAAGAAAAGGGAAAATTCTGTGTAATCTGTCAACATGATGAATGCTGTGAAGGAAAAAATAAAGCTGGGTAAGGAACTTAGAATACTGTTTTACATAGTTTCAGGGAAGGCCCTTCTGAGAATTGAAGGAAGACCTAGATAGCCCAGGCATTTTGGTTGATTTGTTTAATACAGGGTCTCTCTTAGCCCAGCTGGCTGAAACTTGCTACATAGACTGGCCTCAGCTGCTTCCCTGCACCACTTCTCTGCGCCACCATGCCTGGCCCAGGGATGTTTGGAAGGAGAGATGCCTAAGCGGTAATGTGTTGTTGGGTTTGTAATTACGGAAATTACTTTGGATTGCACCTGTTTACTCTGGAAGACTCTACAGAGTGTCTCCACTCTGGGAAAGGCTGTCAGAGTTGTCATGAATTAGTCCCCTAAGGGCGAGCAGTAGGTTTGACTGGTGGCATTGTACTTGGTGGTACGTCCTTGTAATCCTAGCACTTTGGGGGCAGATAGGTCAGGAGTTCGAAGCCAACCTTGGTCTATATAGTGAGATCCTATCTTTAAAAAACGTACACAGGGAAGTGACTCATGTAAGCGAAAGGAACACAAAGTGTGTAGAAAAGAAAGTGGAACTTATTTGCTTGCGGGTCCTGTTGAGGTCAAAGAGCTATTCAATATGGACACCAGAAGTAAAGTATGGTCAGAATATAGAAAGCACAGCCTTGAGTTATGGAAGTTTAATAACTGCCAACAGAAGACTGGGTATACCTGGGAGTCAGCACTTGAGATGTTACTAAAGAGAGCTCCAGAGGAGGTCAGAACTTGGAACCCTGGTAAAGTGCATCCTCTGGTTATTACAATGTCTCCAAAGTGACAGAACTGAAGAGCTGTGAGTGGCACAGGCATGGTGCTGAGTGACATGAGCTTGGGGACCCTGGCATGGGCAAAGAGAATATTCTGGATTCCTGTAGAAGAGGATAAAGGGATTCCTTCCTGAGACTGGGAATCAAAAACAGCCATTCTGTATATACGTGACAGGATTTTATTCAGTCATAAGAACAAAATAATGCCATTTGCAGAAAAATGAATGGAATTGGAGATCAATATTAAGTGAGATGAGCCAGGCCAGAAAGACAGATGTCACATTTTCTCATTTGTGGAGCTTAAGTTACACATCTACCCATGCACACGCATGCTATAAAAACAGAAAGAGAACTCTTAGGGAAGCAGCAGGGGACTGGAGAGGATGGGGGAGTGAATATGATTAAAGAATATGGTAAACTTGAGCAAAAAACTCATTATAAAACCAACCACTTGGGGCTGGTGAGATGGCTTAAATGGGTAAAGGTACTTGCCACCAAGCCTGAGTATCTGAGTTTGAAATCTGGAGCCCACGTGGTGAAAGGGCAGAATTGACTCCTGAAAGTTGTCCTCTGACCGCCACATGCACTTCCTGGCACACAAATAGAAAGAAAATAAATGTAAAAAACATTTCTTAAGAAACTATTTGAGGATGGGAGAGATGGCTCAGCAGTTAAGAGCACTGGCTGCTCTTGATTTCCAGTACCCACATGGCAGCTAACAACCATCCAGAACTTCAGTTCCAGGGGATCCAATGCCCTCTTCTGACCTCTGAGGGCATTACACAACATGGGTGCACTTACATGTAAGCAATACACTCATACACATAAAATTAATTTTTAAAAACATCTTGTGCAACAAACTTTTTAATAATGTCTTCTGGGCTGGCAGGATGGCTCAGTGGGTCAGGGTACTTGCTGCCAAGCCAGAGTTCTATCCTTGGAACCCATATGGTGGGATAACCAGACCCCACAAGTTGTCTTCTGACCTCCATACTGGGCCTTGGTGTGGGCCCTTGCCCCCGCCACCCCATTTTTTTTTTTTTTTAACTTTTTAAGCATATAACTTTGGAAGGTTTGCAAGGGAGGGCATGTTCCCAGAAGACAGGTTTCAGTAAGTGTGTGGTGGTGACTGACTAATGAGATGGAGGCACATGGAAAGTCCTGATGGCCTCCTTGGGGACAAGCAGCTGGCTAATTGCTTTGTGAGACAATGTGTTGAGTGAGCAAAGGGCATGTTGTCAGTTGGTTGAAACTGAAGCTGGGTGCTTGACTGTAATCCCAACACTTGTGAGATGGAGGCAGGAGAATCAACAGTTCAAGGCCATCCTCAGCTACATAGAAAGTTCTAGACCAGCTTAGTCTACATGAGACCCTGTCTCAATCAAATGAAAAAAGACATTCTTAGTGTTGGTGCTGGCTGGGATAGGAATAGAATTTCCAGGGAGACCATTTTGTCTGTTCATGCAGCATTTCCTCCCCAGATCATTTGGGTAAGGGCTTGACCAGAGGTACATACTGTATTATCATTTAAAAAATATTTCTTTAATGTATTTGAGGGCTCTGCCTGAATGTATTTAGGTGCACCATGTGCATGAAATGCCTGTAAAGGCCAGAAGAGGGTGTCAGATCCCCTAAAGCTGTAGTTATGGACAGTTGTTAGCTGCCAGGTGGGTGTTGGGAACTGAACCCGGATCCTCTGGAAGAGCAGCCAGTGCTCTTAACTAGTGGATGACCTGTTTCTCCTGCCCCACATACTGTATTTTAGAAAAGTATATATTTAGTGTAAATGTTTCTTGAGACAGGGTCTCATGTAGTTCGGGTTGGTCTTAGCTCTCTAAACTTGATATATAGCTGAGGATGACCTTGAACTCTGATCTTGTCTCTACCTCCTGGGTGCTAGGATGCCACTATGTGTCCTACCTAGTATGCACCACTGCATCTGATTGTATACAGTGCTGGGCATCCATCCCAGGGTTTTGTACATAGGAGGTAAGCACTCTACCAACTGAGCTACATCCCCAGTCAATGTCTGATAGCTCTTTAAGGGTGTGACTGTCCATCATGAGACCAGGAAATACACAGATGAGGAAACAGGTATGTCAAGGAAACCATGAGGCCATTCAAAGTGTATTCCTGCTAAGATATTTTTTTAAAAAATAGGAAAAGATGAAATATCACCAAAACGTTTAACATAGCAGACATAATCCAGATAGTCACAAGTAACTAAGAGAAGGTACATTTTAAGAAGAAAGGAAAGAAATACTCAGTGGGCCACCAAGATGGCTCAGTGGGTAAAGGCGCTTGCTGCTGAGCCTGACAACCTGAGTTTAATACCCGGGAACCATATGGTAAAAGGAGAGAAGCAAATCCTGCAAGTTGTCTTTTGACTTACACCTACATTGATGGCACAGAAGTACTTCTCCCTCCCCCCGCCCCCCGCCCTTCTCTCTCTCTCTCTCTCTCTCTCTCTCTCTCTCTCTC